CAGCACTATCGGTAACACCCGCAGCCCCTGTATCTCAACAGGAGCTGTTAGTCAAGATAATCTAACCTGTCAGTTGTTCCATCAAAAACAAATGGCTGGGGATAAGTTTAAGTATAAAAGTACTTCTAGGCAGAGGTCAAATCCATGGGCGGCACTGGGTACCTAAACATCTAATGTTTAGGTACCCAAATGGACTCTGTCAGAAAGCCAGCTGATGTAAGCCAATTCTGTGGCAGTGACTCATTGAATGGCTTTGTTTCACTGCTCCCGGACTTCACTTCATTGTGGCATGGGTCATGCGACTGGTTGCTTCTTCCGGGTCTTCTCATGTATGCTTTCCTACATGACAGGGTATGTGAACCACAACAATAAACTTCTCTTATTTCGTTCCTTTAGTCTGCTAAATATCCAATAGAAAGAATTTTGTTAGATTTGATTTTTGTTCTGTTTGAGAAGTGCAAAAAAAATTACCTGTTGATCTTGCAAGAAATCCTGTCAAATGAAAACTTATTGAGCTCTCTGCCACTGCTGACTATTATCCGTTACTATTGTTCCCAGTTCTTCCTGAGGACTACAGAGCCCCACCCCAGTGTTATGGAGAGGAGGAGGTGTCTCAAGTCCTGTCCAGTGTCTGTTGTGCTAATACAGTACAGTGAGTGAGCATTGTCACTCTAGGACAGGAAGTGTGTTACTCCTGGCAGAATAACCAGGTGAAAATGGCGGGAAAAAAAATAATTAATGCAGCCACTCAAACTAAGGGCTGTTAAGATGTATATTTAAATTTAGGTATACGCTTTAAAAAGCAGGCAATTTAATGTATAATTCAGGAAGAAGTCGGTATAATGTGCGAGACAAGGAAGATGCCCTACATTAACAAAAAGGGGTAAGAAAACCATCTGCCATTTTTGGCCCATTAACATAACTTGTCATCTTCTAGACAATTAAAAACAATGCGGGGAATTTATCAAAACTGGAGCAGACAAAATCTGGAGCAGCTGCCCAGGGCAACCAATTGGCTTCTCTCTTCAGTTTGTTCAGTTAAGATTTGAAAGTGACAGAGAGAAGCTGATTGGTTGCTGTGCACAGCTACTCTAGATGTTGTCTGCTCCAGTTTTGATAAATTCCCCTCAATGTTTTACAGAACGGTATTTGCTTTCTTTAATACAAACAGTAGCAATAAGCAGAAGATCAGCAGTTATAATTTTATTAATTCACTACAGCTTAGCATAGTAAATTGATTGAGGAATATCCCATCATAACTAAAGGTAAATGTTAAAGGCCATAGCAAAAATAAATATATAAAAAACTGATTTGACCTGAATAAATGAGTGCTGGATACATGGCATGCTCTATTCACAAGACAACACATCTGTGTTTCGGGGAGTGGATATATCTTCTATATTCTGCAAGCTGATTCAAGTAGAAGTGTGAAGGCCACCTGTGTTTTTCTACAAACTCCAGTTCTTCAGCTGCATGAAAAAGGAAAAAAAAACTATTAAGTCTCAGAATGTTTACAGAATGTTTACATGGGCAAGTCTATCATTAAGAAAGATGACAAATGGAATGAGGCATGGCCATTTCTAATCTGATAGAGTAAGAACCTTTGTTGAGTTGGGTTTCCCCAAGGGGTCACTCATCTCACAGTCCCTCAGATGTTTCTTATTTTTATGTAGGGCTGCAACAACTAAATTGACATAATCGATGATTGAAAAAGTTGTCAACTTTTTCAATCATTGATTAATCTGCTTCCGATTGGTTGGTCCTGTTCACGGCTTCACACACGCTGCGCGCCACACTTCCTCCCCACCTCATGCTCGGCGCTGCCAGACCCACCGGGCCACATCAACGCTGCACACGCCGCACCTCCTCCCCGCCTCATGCTCACCGCCTGCCCACATCCACGATCGGCACAGGGACGCGGGGAGAAGTAAAGAGAAGCAGGTGTGGGCAGATGACAGCCGCCGATAGACAGGCCCGATCTCAGAAACAAGTTGCTGGAAGACTGCTCAGGTAAGCCTGCACTTTCCCCCACATGGTGCTCTATAATGTATTGCTGGGATAGTGGGATTTGTAGTCCTCTATAGCCGGTGCCATTCTGTAGTGTGCTGTATAATGCATTATTGCTGGGATTTGTAGTCTTCTATACAGCGCAATGCGGAATACCACCAGCTATAGCGGAATACAACAAATCACAGCAATAGTACATTATCGCTGGCGGTATTCTGCATTGCACTGTATAATGTACTATGGCTGGGTTTTGTAGTCCTCTATAGCTGGTGGTATTCTGCATTGCGCTGTATAGAAGACTACAAATCCCAGCAATAATGCATTATACAGCACACTACAGAATGGCACCGGCTATAGAGGACTACAAAACCCAGCAATAGTACATTATACAGTGCAATGCAGAATACCGCCAGCTATAATGTACTATTGCTGTGATTTGTTGTATTCCTCTATAGCTGGTGGTATTCCGCATTGCGCTGTATAATGTACTACTGCAGGGTTATGTAGTCCTCTATAGCTGGTGGTATTCCGCATTGCGCTGTATAATGTACTATTGCTGGGTTTTGTAGTCCTCTATAGCCGATGCCATTCTTCATCATTGCTGTATAATTTTACACTTTTCATTTCACTATATTGCACACCACACTTTTTTTTTTCTTTTTTACTTCCACCGCTCCAAGCTTGCTCCTGTGATGGACTACAATCTCAATACAAACTAGCAGTCCCATCAGTGGAGCCATTTTTTAAAATGTATTTTATTTTTTATCCGATTAATTGAACTTAATAATCGGCTAACTAATCGATTTTGAAAATAATCGTTAGCTGCAGCTCTATTTTTATGGACAAAAAAAAACTTACCTTAAATGATGTTTCTTAATCCGATCTTCTTCTTTCCTGTGGTTTTAATCTGTCTCTCCAGCACTGCTGCGGGTCTCCGATCCAGCGCTGACTCCTCTGTCCTTGCTGGCACTTCCTGTCCCACGGTGTCTGCATGCGGGTGCATGCGTCCATAGACTTACCTTGTGTCTCTCCTCGTCTCCCGGCCGAAAATCTGAACTGCGCATGTGCCCGCCCCCGTTGGACGGGAGCGCGTAGAGAAGACACAGGTAAGTTTAAACCTCTTTTAAAGCGTTTAAAAAAAACAAAAACTTTTTGCATATATCTACTGCATTTATCATGACACTAAGCCAAATGCCAGGACAGAATAGTAAGAGGTCTAACAAACACCTACAACTTTTTATTTTGTGTTGCCTGCTCACTTTTGAACATTTTCAGGCAAATGAAGAGTTACAAATGAGAGTTACAGTATGGTGCTGCATTATATGGTGGCACTTTAAAGTAAAGTAAACCAGTAAGAACTACGGATGCACCGATATTTCGGCCCCCAAAATGTATCGGACGAAAATGGCACTTTTGGCAAAGTGCCGAAAGTTTAATTTTTTGGGCTAAAATTGCAGTGCTTTCTCTCCTCCCCACTGGGCGCTGCTCTGTGCCCCAGCAGGGAGGAGAGAGGCTGTCACAGGAGGCCGAGCGATGCGGGAGGAGAGCGCTGTGAGCGGCCAGCGACTCTGCTCCCCGCACTGCTCGTTCGGCCTCCTGTGACAGCCGATCCAGGATGGAAAGTGAATACAAACACTCAGCGATCAGTGATCACTGAGTGTTTGTAAAAAATTGAGGGCAGAGTATGTTTACTGTGTCCCCAATTATAAATGAATTGGAAGCGATCTATATCACTTCCTGTTCATTCATGATTGTGGTTATAGTAAACCCACTATGTCCACACGTTATGAATAAACAGGAACACTCACAGAGGATTCCTGTTTACTTATAACAGGGGCTGCAGAAAAAGAGATTGAGGACTTTGTGCCCTCAATCTCTTTTCTATTTTAAAAGGGAAATATCGGGGGTCTGTTTAGACCCTTAGTATTCCCCCAAAGCCCTTTATTAAATAAAATGATTTAATTAAAAAAAATAAAAATTAAAACGTTTATAAAAAATAAATAAAAATACAAAATTTTAAAAAAATACATTTTTGGTTTCAGTTTTGGCCTGACATTTTTTTCTCTAGTAATAACCGTAGGCAACATGTAGTCCCACGGTGGGTGGTGTAAAAGTAAAAGCAGTCAATGTAATGTACAGTTCACAATGGTGGTTCTGCTTATAAACAAGACCCAGATTTTTTCTATTTTTTTAAAATATATATTTATATGTTTTATGGGAAAAAAGTAGCACCTGGAGTATGGGGCATTAACATTTACACATCTCTAACAAGGCATGATCACTAAGGACAGCCCTTTGACCCTGCACTTCCTGTGTTCACTTTACAACTACACATAAAGATCATTTTATTTGCGAGTGTGAACCTTGATTCACAGTTGAAGGTTTTGTAGCTTGAAGCCTAAAACATCTAAATGTCCAACAACTCAAAATTGGGTACATGCGCTACTTTGGCAGCAAAATGGGGCAATTTTGGCCCCACATACTTTAATGGAAGTGCCAGAAAATCACCTAAATACACTTGAAAATGTTTTTTAAGGCTAAACAACCATCTCCTTCTCCTAGTACATAGCTTTTCATTGGCTAAAACAAAAAAAGCTGCAGCCTGAAAAAACGCACAAATAAAAGCACTACAAAATCTGTAAGTGCTCAGGTGAGAATACAGCCTGAGGGCGTGTGATATAGGCACTTGGTAAGGGGGAGTCAGGTCAGCAGAAAGTCCTTATACAAAGGAACAACACTGGTATAGATATTTCACTAATCTCCCTTAAGGAGTTCCCCATGTGTTTTTCTTCGTATTATTTATCCTCTAAGGAATCAAGGCATGTAGGGAGAGTTTCTAATACTCTGTGCAAAATGAACAAACTAAAGCCAGACTATTCCTGTTGTTGCTATAGCACCATAACCCTAAGGTTGTAAACCCAGTTTATACGTTTTATAAACACAACTGTGTGGACTCAACTTACTGCTTTTGCACCATAAAAATTACCTGTCTAAAGATAATGTGGGCAATTACAAGGGAAAGGTGTTGGCAAAGGCTAAAGGAAAATGTGTGCATAGCCTCGGTCAAGGTCCGGGAAGAAGAAGAGGAGAACTTGGGCTTAGGCACAACCGGATCTGATGTTCTACTAAAGGGAGTAGTTGTCTACCCCCACAAAGTGCTCAGAAAGAAAGAGAATGGGTTGTTTTTTTCTATCTGACCCAAAGAGGCACTAATGGAGTGGAGATAAGCCTCTATTCTAGTAAGGTTGTGTCTACTGACAGAGGAAGTATTCTGGGTGGCTCACAATGGAGCAGGGGTGTGGCCCTGGAACGTGAAGCTTCTACCTACTGGTATTCAGGGGTGCTAATGGAGAGCATCCTAGTGAAAGATTTCATCTGCCATGGCAACTTTCAGTAGGATGTAAGCTTTCTCTTGTGTAACCAGTCCCCAAACTCCAGGTACTGGCCTTTACTACCTAATGACTAAATGACCCACAAAATATGACCTACGCAGTCAAATCAGATTTTGAAGCAGATACTCCTCAACTATTTGTTTGCATTTGTTTGATTCTGTGTTATAGTGGACACTTTCAGTATTTGCACATACATTACATAGTTACATAGTTACATAGTATTTGAGGTTGAATAAAGACATTAGTCCATCAAGTCCAACCTATTAGGATCTCATTCTAGGAGTACCTGTACCCCTGTATATTACGGTCCCTTAAGAAATCGTCCAAAAGTTTCTTGAACAATTCCACATTCTTTGCTGAAATCACTGTCTGTGGCAGTGAGTTCCAGACCCTAACTGATCTTACTGTGAAGAACCCCCTTCGCCCCTTGTGCTGGAATTTTTTTTCCACCAATTTTAGGTGGTGGCCTCTAGTTTTTGTAATGGAGTTAATTTTAAACTTTCCTTACGTAAAGGATAAAGTACCTGAAAGATCTTGAAAATCCAACTTCTGACTGAAGATTAAATAGTGTGCAGCAATAAAATAGAGCAGCCACGTGTACAGGCTTTCAGAGTTATAAAACTGCAAAACAGGGAAAAGAGTAATGAATAGAACACAGTATATCATGAATATATGGTATATGCATATTTTTCATTTTAAGATACAGTAGTCATGTCCGATGGTGACCCTTCTTCCACCAGAGCTAAGGTAATGTTTCTGGAGCTTATGACTGCGTGCAGTCTTTCTCATAGAAGCAGGAGGCTACTTGATTAGGTGTCAGAGTACCCAATGATTATTTAATGCAGCATTCTCATAAGTATCCCATGAACCTAAAGTATGTCTTTCAACACTGTGCAAGATTGTAAAAGTTAGGTGCAATTAGTATGGCAAAGTGCCAGGTATGAAGGCTAATCGTAGTAATCATGCGTTTTTTTCCATTCAGCTCTGTGATCACCCCATCCAGTGAATCCCCCCTGCCAGATTTGCTGTTGTCAGAATACCTGAACACTGACTACAGCTGACTGGCTACAGTCACTGCCTTTGCAAATGCCCTTCTTTGAGCTTTTTGTTTAAAATTCATTGTCTCGGTCAAGAAATATTAAATGTTTTAATTTGACATTTGTTGCCGTATACATTTGGCATGGTCTAACTACAAAAACAAAACAAAAAATTATAGCTGAATTTTTTATTCTTGAATATTTAATAATACAACTTTAACCTGACCTCTGGCCATTAATCTACCTCAACTCCTAAACATGTCACTAAAGCTTAACCTAACCCTTAGACTAAACCCTAAACTTACCTCTATCTATCCACGGAATTTAACCTTAACCTAAACCTAATCCTGAAAAGGAACCAACTTCTTAACCTGAACCATAAATCTAATGTATAAGTTATAAAGGACAATTTTTTGTAGCTCGATCGTGCTACTAAAATCACTAGCGATTAATTGCTAAGGGTAGTATGTATCAATCACAGTCAATTGGAGCATTAGTGAGATAATGCGCAGTTAAGGTTCAGCCAAAAATTTTATTCGTTTTGAAGAAGTTTTGAAGGGTTAGAACCTCCATTCAACAAAGTTTACTCTCACTTCCTATACTGTAAAGAAGGATAGAAACTCTCTTTGATTTTGTTTCAGTCTAAAGCTGGCCATACACTGGGTGAATATTGCACAGTGGGGGCCCCCCGGTTGGCACCCTTTTGTCTCACATCCTTCGATCAGAAAATCTAAGGAGCTGGATGAAAAATTCTGTGTGAACAGTGACAGCAAGCAATCAGCAGCTGCTAATGTTTGGATATTCTCAGTGGCACGCACACTGCCATCAGAATACAAAGAACACAGCAGGAGATTCATCCATCCACACTGTTTAGTGTGGATGGATGAGTGTTTATTTTTTTTCTTCGCTCAGCCTATGACAGCGTATGGCCAGCTTTAGTCCCTGTTGCAGATTTTCTCTCACGCTCCATTTTATGCAACAGACAATACAGGAAGAGAGGAAAACCTGTCACAACCCCACAAAGCAGCAAATACCCTTCAGGAGATCCAATAGATTTAAACTGCTAAAGCATGCTTTAGCTTACACAATAGTGAGCCATTGATCCTTCTGTTTAGCCATTTATCACAACTTTTAGAGAAGAATTGCTAGCAATTTAATAATGTGATTGGGCTGCTAAAAATTGCTTGTGTCGCTCTTTCCTAATACTGAAAGTGTACCAACATTTGTGTTGTAGTACCCATTGACGTAAAGTATGTCACCAGCACACCAAAGATCTGTGTCCAAAACCACTTTACTGACGTTTGTGCATTTTGTCGACTAAATAGCAACGTTTCGAGGCCACGCAGAAATGTTGCTATTTACTTCACAAAATGCACGAACATCAATAAAGACATTTTGGACACAGATCCTTGGTGTGCTAGTTACATACTTTACTTCTCGGATTTAAGCACTCATTCTATAAGGCGTTTACCGGTCAGGAGTGCGGCAGGATATCTAGAGGGCGCTACCCGTAGACATCACACCTAGCCATCCAATAACTTTGGATTCACAGGTTTAAATGTATATTCATCTATGCAGAATGGCAGATCACAGCAAACAACTTCTGTGCACCTCCAATACAGAAAAAGTATTACAGCTGAGATGGAAAATGGAGTCACACAGCTTAGTGGTTTCCTGTGCAAGATTTTAATCTCATTTCTCATATATAGTAGGACTCCATTAAAACTTTTCACAATTTTGGGTAGAGTGGGAAAGGGCTAGAATGTCTAAATGTGAATTCAGAGTCTGACTTTCCTCCTCACATCCAGCCTTGAAGACCACTTAGAAGGTTCAGGGAATCTCCACAATGAGGACACAGGCAACTATATAAACTGGAAACAGGTTCTAACCCTTGCTGAGCTTTTAGCACCCGATGTCCAAAATAAAATCATTTCTGGCAGGAGTTTAATGATGTAATAAAGTTTTTGATGGTGATATAGTCTTGAAGGCATGAATATACAGGTAAAAATTGAATGCTGAGCTGACCATTGATGCCGTTGGACATAATATCAGTATCATCTTCTTTCACAGATATTTTTATGAACATGTATCATCAGATTGTCTGCAAATCTTCATATTGCATGGAATGTGGACATTTCTGGGGAGAAGAGGGAACAGTAATGGTTGGTCACATATAACCAACACTGCCAGATAGTGATTGCCCCTGAGTTTGTTTGGTCATGGTGTCTACTGCTATGCACAGTCCAGAGGATCATTCGTCCCTGATCTGGCTGAAAATAGATGAAAGGGATATTGATCATCTCATATTTACTATTGTTAGAAATCCAGAAGATAGCTGAAATGAGCAGCCATTATGGTTTTCCCATATAACTGTAAAGTGAAAAAATATTTTGATAATCCTTCTTTCTTCTATTCAGTGTTGAGAGCCAATTATTAACATTGTAAGTTGACCCTCTTTATGGATTGTCATATATTTGGTTATGTGCAGGAAGTATCAGACAATACCTTGGCCTTTTTAAGTAGCGAGACCACACTTAGGCTTGACGATGACAGCTCTCTGCTTGGCATGCTCTGGAGCTGAGTGATGATGTAATGTTCACATACGTGTTGTAGCCGAGACACCTGGTACATCTCAGAGCAAATCATCAGTGACATGGCTTGTAGAATGCTAGCTAATAAAGGACATGGAATTAATGATTGTGTAGTTACAGGTGCACACCATACCAGAAACAGAATATAACATAACTATTCTATGAAATGTCTAAGGGTAAGTTCACACCAGATGCAGTGCGTTCCAGTCCTATTCTGGCCGGAACGCACTGCATCGCATTGCGGCCGGCTCACTTTTTTGTGGGGCATGAGGGGGCGTGGCGGGCGATTTAAGTGAATGGTGCCGTAGCCACGCCCTCCGGCCGCAATGCGATTGCCCGGCACATTGTGCCTGCGGTCCGGTGCATTGCGATCAAAATGCTGCATGCACTATTTTGATTGCACCGCACTGGACCGCAAGCACAATGTGCCTTGCGATTCCGTGCGGGTGATCGCATTGCGGCCGTAGGACATGGCTACAGTGCCATTCACTTCAATGGCCCGCCACGCCCTCTCCTGCTCCACAAAAAAGTGAGCAGTGTGTTCCGGTCAGAATCAGACGGGAACGCACTGCATCTGGTGTGAAAGTACCCTGAGCCTTTACTTGGAGAAACAGAATCCCAACAAAGAAAGATGATATGGAACACACACACACACGCTGTATATATTAATATTGGTGGCTAAAGTGATTGCATATGAAATCCTAGTTCAAACTTCTTGTGATTTAAACAAACATAATCTGGTCATTTTCTAGAAAAAAATGGCAACACATCAAAACAATATAAACTTAATGAGTGTTCTTAATTTTGGACTTATCAGATAACAACTGGGGTGTCCATACTGCATTTTATAAGAATCCCACATTAACAAGGAACGCATACATTTTTGTTATAATAATGAAAACTGTAGAACCCATTTTGAATATTTTGCTTTATAGTTTGATGTTGCCCATTTGCAAATATACAGCTCCAAAAAAAAAACCAGTATATTTTTAGTAAGTACATTTAAAAAAAAAATAATTGTACTATTTAATCATAATTTTTGACAAAATGTTTAGTTTTACTAAATTTGCCCTCTAGTGGTCATCTGCATTACCAGGCATGTGATTAGTATTCTCTGCTTAAAACTGAAATATGGTCAAAAATGAAAAGATACTATGCAATAAAGCTGTAATACTTAAACCCTAGAAGTACTTGTTTGTAGAAGCACGGCAAGCAGTGTCCGTTATGTACCTTAGATCCCAGCATCTGATTGCTTTAATAGTGTCACAACAGACATGGTCTTCAACTCCATAGAAATGGCAGCAGTGTCGCCCTTTGCATTGCACTGCTCTGGATTGGCATGTGATTACTTTATTGAGGTCATGTGTATGATCAGAGGATCAGAGGCTGCTGTGGAGTATCTGACCTAGCTTGTCAATCACTGTAAAGATCACACCTATGACCCACCTACCTGCTGTATGCATGTTGAAATACAGTTTACCGTAGGAGACACAGCAGCTAACACAGCAGTTGGAAATGACAAGTTAGCTCTACATAACTCCTCCCAAGATCAGTACAAGATTCTAAAGCAAGGACACACAAGACTAAGGATCAACTACATTACTGAGGTTTCGTGGGGTTAGTTGGTAAATAACAAAACGGGCACATGCTATATTTAGTAGCACATTAAAGCGCATCTAAACCCAAAAGCAAAAATTAAATAGATTGTAGCTTACCAGTCCTTTAATGAGTTGGCTGCATTAGTTTTCTTTTGTCTGGCTTTTTTCCCTTTATTTTTACCTGGTAATCCTGCAAATAACACACTTCCTGTCCCTGGGTAGTTACACTCACTTATCCACTGTATCAATGGGAGCAGCCATTGCATCACCTTTGTTCCTCTCCATTAAATTGAGGCTGATGGGATAAGTAGTTTACAGACGGAAGTTAAGATAAGATTCCTTCCATTTCAGCGCCCAGGAAGTGAGACTGACACTGTATTTCTGGCAGGATCAACATGTTTTTTTTCTGTTCTTAAAAAGATAGTTCTTAGCTTTAATGCAACCACCACATTGAAGGACTGGTAAAACCACCTATATAAGACATTTTGGGTTTTAGATATGCTTTAAAGTAAACCAGTATTTAAAAAAAAATCCAAATAAACCCCACACTGTGTACGAACCAACCCCACTGTTGTCATCATCCCTAATCCCTATTGCAGCTCCTCTGAAGATCCTTCCAGATACTGATGAAACCCAAATTGGTTGGTGCCTGCAATCTGCCATGCCTCCTACTCCCCCTTGTATGTGGTTCTGTTGACTGAACACTTCGGTAATGAGAGCTGCTTTGTATGGGGGCAAGAGGCACACACATGGGTGCATCATATCTGGAGGTGCACAGATTTTCCCAGGGTTTGCAATGCAGGTTGGGGCTGGAACAGGAGCAGTAAAGGTTATTAAAGTCATTAAAAGGTGCCTTCTTCACAGCAATTGCTTAGTTTGGCCATTTCTTTTTAACAGGTTTCTTTTAATGGCTACTCAGGTATGCTTGATTATGACAGAAAAGGCCTGACCTACCATGTGATGCTACCAATTATAAGGAATGGCTTGACGTAATTAGACATGTTCTGACCTTTATGGCAGGCAGAGGTGTTCAATGTTGCACATGGAGATTTCCCTATTCTATATAGAAGAGTAAAGAATCAAAGCACTGCATGTGCACCAATGTCACCCGGGAAGGGAGGGAGGGAGGATGAGTATTCTGGTGGAAGGTCACACAAATCTTTTCATGAGTGGCAGATATTTTCCATAGAAGGTATCCATCTCAATGGCCAGCAACAGTACTACTAAGCAACAAGCAAGGTTGGCATATGTAATGAGCAAATAATGACTCCTATATCTCCATATACGGTATTTTACCAAACCATATATAAATGCAATGCTTCAAAAATTAGCAATCCTTAATAAGGTTATGGACCACAAATAGATCACAACCATTTATTTATCTAATAAGATTATATTTTTTTATCACAGAAAGCAAGTTTAAATTACTTTGTATTGAGCTGGCACTGAAGAGCTTCAGTAAGATTTTTTGGATCATTCAGATAAATAAAAGATTTTCCAGCACACGGAATTCTGGTAAAATATTCTTGTTTATTCCAAATGCATCTGTAAAGTTAGCAACCTCAACCAGTTGCCAATTGAACCGGTTGCTAACTTTACAGATGCATTTGGGATCAACAGGAATATTTTGTGAGAATTCCATGTGCCGGCCATCTTTATTAATTATTGGTAGGGATACACCGATATCGTTTTTTCGGTATTGAGTACCGATATTTTGCTTTTGGTGCTCGCTGATACCGAATACCGATACCGGTGCTTCCACTGGCATGGAACCGGCTTCCCGGGCAATCAGGAAGCGGGGCGGCATGTAATGACATGCTGCCCAGCTTCCTGATTGCCCGGGAAGCCGACTCCATGTTGTTTGGCCAGCTCGTTTGTGATTGGTCGGGAAACCGGCTTCCCAGCCAATCAGCATGCAGCTGGCTTCCCGGCCAATCAGGAAGCCGGGAGGCGGGTCATTACTCGCCACCCGGCTTAATGATTGCCCAGTAAGCCGGCTCAATGTTCCCCTACAGGACTACCGATCAGAGAAAATTTTCTTCTGAATGGAAGTTCTGGTATTGGGGAAGGTATCGGAGTATTTGGGCGAGTACGAGTATTGGTATCATTGCATCCCTAATTATTGGTATTGATATAGTGCTGATGATTTATGCAGAGCTTTACATAGTTGCACATTCACATCAATCCCTGCCCTCAATGAGCTTACAAGGCAGAAGTGCTAACCACTATGCCAATGAGCTGCATCTTTTCTTTATCCTATTGCTGTGATGCTCCAAGACGGAGTGTTTTCTGTAGACCAGATGTGGCATAGAAGACATATTCATGGGGTAAGCTGTGTTTATTTCTTCCTAATGGATCTTTTGGATCATTGCCTGTAGACAGTGTTTGCCAGACTTGTGGCTGATTCCTTGGTAGTACAATCTTTAGTTTCATAGATTGCTCTATAACAAATGTATCTTCCAAAAAACTCAAATCAGTAAATACATATGCAGATATGTCAGTCAATATCAATGGGGGCTTCCAGGTACAGGAAGTTAGCATGCAAATATTTTTCAAGGTAAACAATTGCTGTAACTAATGGCGACCGTTTAAATGTCATATTGCCTTCACAAATGATTTATGGAAACTGGAAAAAGAAGAAAGATAGAGCTGTTGGCATTGTAATAATTTAAGTTGTATGTTTCTTTCTTTAAACTGAACTATGAAAAGGAAATTATAACACCTCCACTTTTCACGAATCAGACCCACAGAGTGAAGATGATTAAATCCCCAAAAAATCCAGCTTACCGGGGCAATAGGAATCTTTGTAAATATATTCCAGAAAAGCAAGGAATGTGTCTTTGGGCATGTCATGAATAGGAATAAGAATTTGATTGGCTTCAGAGTAACTTCCACTGAACATGGCAGACATGACATTACAACGAGCTGACAGCACTGCTCGGTGCGCTGGGATTTTTGCATCTATGGTAAAAAAAAAAAATATACAGATTAGCGATTAAATGTGAATATGTAAACCACACTATTATCCTAGAGTAAAATACACCGTAACTCATACACATGATGATGCTTACTGGTACCTGTAGCAGACTAACACCTAATGCAAGATCATGACGGCTCTTCCTGCTAGTTACAGATATATACAGAAGATGAAGAGGTCCTTTCTTTTAAAATATAAAAGCTTCAATTTGTGCAAAACATATAGATAGAATCATAAACTTAAAGTGACACTAAACTCGGGAGTTAAATCTTAAAAATATATTCACGTACCTTAACTATTAACAAAAACGTATCTTATGTGTGTATCACTCGGCTGTAGATCCTCCAATCATCTCTGAATTGGTGCTGACACTGTCCTTACTTCTGGAGGGTGGCTACTTTTGTTCCCCATGGTCCCTGTGTATGTTGCAAAGTAGCCACAGCTCTAAGCTCGCTCCTGTGATGGACTTCAATTTCAATACAAATAAGTAAACTAAACATGAGTTTGTAATCCATCACATGAGCGAGCTCAGTGTGGTGGCTACTTTACAACACACACAGGGACCATGGTGAACAAAAGTAGCCCCCCTCCAGAGGGAAGGACAGTGTCAGTGACAGTGTCAGTGATAGGTTGACTACTGTGTTAACTTCCCTGGAGCTGAGTGATGTGTCAGTGAGTGACGCTACAGACATGAAGATAGATCCAAAGAGCACTGGTGTCTCTCTCCCTAGTGAGGGCAGAAGATTTCTATGGGAAATTAACACTGGATGCTCATTCAATGCAAGTATTATTCGAGTTTTTTACCTTCTTTTAATAAAGTTGTTTTACTTTTATGGAGTACACCATGGTTTGTGATTTGACAGGTCAGAGCCGTTTGGGCGGTGAAAGGGGAACCTACTCAATATTCGGAGGGTGGTCATAATGTTATGGCCGATTAGTGTGTGTGTATATTATTTATTGGTGAATGGCACGCCCCCCTCCCTACATTTTTTGTAGCTCGATGGGGCAGATAATATTCACGGTATCCAAAAGATCTAAAATAAATCAGCCTTTATGGTTATATTATGGTATCAGTGTCGATACTGAGCATTTCGGCGAGTATTCGTACTGGCCCAAATGCTCCGATACTTACCCCGATACCGGCACATCCGGCAGAGGCAGATTCCCTCTGACCGGTAGTGCCATGAGGTAGCATGGAGCCGCCTTCCTAGCCAATCAGCTGGGTCAGGAAGCTGATTGGTCAGGAAGCCAGGGTGCCTTGCAGTGTCGCGAGGGAGCGTGAAGCCGGTTTCCTGATTGGCCGCGAAGCCGGATCCACGCTACCACGGGATGCCGATATCAGTACTCGGTATCGGCGAGTACTAAACAAAAAAATACCAGCACTCATACTCGATACCAAAAAAACGGTATCGGTGCATCCCTAGTTATATATACAGGTAATCTCTCTGTTATCCGGTATTCAACTAACCAGAACTCTCATCTAACTAAAAAAACAAATCCTCTTTGTACTCACTGTTCTGTGGCGTGTATTATCCTGGAAACGATCGTGTGTCTATTTGTCTTAATTTGCTTTTGATTACTGCATTTCAGTAATATTATGAAGTCAATACAGAGTTTATGTTATGGTATTGTATGGCATTAGTTAGACCTATTTTTAATAGTAACTCTCAAGCAACCAGAAACCAGTTAATGGGGAGTTTATTGTATACAGAAGAAAACTAATGAAGCCAACACAAATAAGAAATTGCAAGCTGAAATATAATACACTTTAATAAGCTGACTCATCTCTATTTCATTCACCAAATTTTACCAACTTGCCTAAAGAAAATGGGTCATTTACCATCCACTTACTGCCTCTGCTTTCAGCAGGGAGTAGACTTTGGACAGTTGATCTGGAGCCGTATCAGATAAATGTTTACTTTCATACTCAACAATTGAATGGGCTGGGCTTCTGGTGTGTCCCTGTGCCTTTAAGGAGGTTGGGCTACCTCCTGGCAAACATGCACCCAATTCATCCTTTGCTATGAATGCTCCAAAATGGAGGCTCTCATAGTGTCAAGGCTAGTCAGGTGACTGGAGGTGTATCAGGATCTCAGCTGCAGAACTCGTAGGGATTAAGGAGGTTAGGAGGAAGGTCCGTGAGCGGCTCCCAATTACAGCAAGGGCGGTTAGGAGACCGCACTCATCATCTACTTCATTAGCAAACTAGGTGGAATAGCCACTGTGAGTAGTGGTTAACAGAACCCACTCCTGCCGCCAGGAGCACCAACCTGTAACTACTGTGGTGTTAATATATATGACAGCAGAGTTCTTAGGCAGTATTTTAAGCAGCAAAGAGTAACCACCTCTATGCATACATACACAGTCCACTCTAAACAATGACAGCTATAGCAAGCGGTGATGGAACATGCAGGTAAGAGCAGGACAGATACGCATAGCAAGCACTTGATTATTGATCTATGGTATTTTGCAAGGTAACAGGTAGCACATACAGCAGCACTATTGGCAAGCACAGGAGCAGGGGGAACTGCATAGGCAATTGGATCACAGACAGATTTCATGCACTTCAACTATTACACTGTGGCTTTAAATGAGAGTTTGATAGCAGTTCAGATATCGACAAGATTAGCAAGCACAAGAACACACAGCAGTCTCTGAGGCACTTGGGTCTGAGACCCACGATACTTGCAGTTAGGTGTTTGGGTAGCTCTTAGCTCACAGCAGCAGGGGAATCTGGCTTGTCTGTAGGTTGTGCGTGTTCGGATGCTGCTGAATTACGGCTCTCAAGTCCTGCAGGTTCTCTGTTCGTCACTCGACTCTCCACAACAAGAGAACGCTGAGTGACGAGCCAGCTGACCCTTTACCCTGGTAGCCGCGACCAGTGGGAGGAGCCGTCGTGACGTCACGCACGAGACGACACGTCGCTGGAGCGCGGGGACACGCCGGGTAAGTCTGTGACACATAGATTAGAATTAGGACCACACTACACAGAGGGGCCTTGATGAGGCAATGTGGCTTCCACATATTGTGCAACTAAAACCTCTTTATTAACCCTGATAGTGTTTTTTTGCAGGCTGGCTGGTGAATGTGCTGGGAAATGTTTGCTTCTGCCACCTTACTCATTTATTTTTATGTGAAGCCCTGTTTATAGAGAGTAAGACCATAGCTCTTTGCTGGACGAAAACCAGACTTCCTACTCAAACACCGAATCTCACTGATAAACCAAAATATACCTGAAAGAAAAGTCATATCTAAGAATATGTAATGGTCTAAAAAATTCGACATTATTTCTGGTACCAAGTGTAATTTTGTTAGATCTCTGCTCACTTCAGTGTACACACAATGATGTTGTGATAAACTTACCTACATAAAATATGTTGTTTTAATCTATTGGAACATACAATATTAATGATTATCATTACAGAACATCTTAGTGCATGCCTTCAGATTTGATAAGTGCATAACTTGTATTGTACTGGCTTGTTCATTTTTGCTGTGCAAACCAAGTTTACTAAATATCTTCGTTGGACCAAACAAATCTGTTAAATTGTGATTGCACATGTTTTTGACAGATTTAAAGCCACTCTTAAGGCATTCACATTAACGTTATGCAATGCCATACCCACCTCCATTACGAAAGGAATTACAGACATCCAAGGGTGATTGGCATATTTTTATATATATAGTGAAGAACAAAGGAAATGGTAATTCATCATACTGAGATTTAATCAACCACATGGACCTAAAATGTGCTGTGACAGGCTCAAAACACACTTTTAATTGACTGTGAATATAAATTTCTGCATAATCTTGTAGCAAAATGGAGTCTGTAGGATCAGAACTAAAATATTTTTTATACTGGATTCATAACATGAATTGTACTGAGGAGATAAACTCAGAATTAGCTTGGTGCATGTAGTATTAAACAAGATCATCTCACTGCTGCCTGCGTTTTACATTGTCATAGCCTGCAATCTATCTCCGCAGCCTCCCCCTTGTTTTATATTGCACTGTAAGTAAGAAGAAAGAAGCTGTGAAGCAAATACAGATCAAGAATTCTTCCTGTGCATCTGCAGAATCACTCAGATATTGACTATCTGCTGAAGTGATATAGGAATTTAACTTTCCTTATCACCAGAGGTGTAATTATTTGTGATGGGGCCCCCTAGCAAAACTTAGCTCTGTGTCCCAAAAGCAATCCTTCAGGTGGGACAAAGTACTATTTGCTTCTATAGTAATTTTATGGGTGGTTACCAAACTGTATAATAATAATAATTGTAACCAAATGCTATTGCTGCCTACTTAATTCATTGTAATGCCACACAGTGTTCACGTCCCTTCTGCTGAGCCCCGTAGTAGCCACATTGTATACTATAGCTTTAGTTATACCCTTTCTTATCAAAACTTCACCAGTGAGGCTTGCAGTATGGTGGGAAAGATGCCTTGTACTACTAGGTTATGCCAGGAAAAGCTTAGCTCTATTGCTTTACAGGATTGTTACCTAATGCAGGGGATTTTGTGCGACCATTACTCCTTTGTATGAATGTATATTTTTTTTTCTGATTTTCTACACAAGGAAGTGGACAATTTTCACTGCAGAGAAGAATATTTCTGGACAATACACACAATGTGATGCCTCCTGCAGAAGTCGCACATTACCTTGTACTTGGAAGATCACATCTGCTAATAATGGGTTGTTAAAAAACTGTCCAAGAGACCCGCACAGCTGAAGTGGATTCTTACGATGGGAAAAAGATTCATCTGTTAAAGGTCTTACCTATAAGAAAGGAAGATAGTGCTTTTTTTAAACTCTCATATTAAAGTGGTGGCCACACAGAGATATGCTTTAACTAGAACTTAACACTGAAAATTAGGAGGGTTACTCAAATGGGAACAATCAAACAAACAATTATGGTTTTGGATATTTTTTTTTTTTTTTAAGTTTGTAGGCTTTTAAATTGATGTTCACTATACCTGTGTTTACTATATCTGCAGAAATCTACTACATCTATACAATCAGACAACTATAACTAAGGATTGCCAGAGCACTGTGGGCTAGGTAAACATGCAGCGCCTCAGTAGCTGTATTCCGTCAGTCTCCTTTTGTCTAAATTAAACCTCAGACAGAGCCATCAGATAAAAGGAAAAGTCACTGCAAGGGTTTTTTGACTTGTGTGTTGTTTAGACAAAAATATTTTTCAATAAAAGTGCTAGGAAAGGCTATACATACACACAAGCACGAGTACACTATATGTATGTGTATATTAAAGTTAAAAAAAGTTCAGAACTAAAGGCACATTTACAATTTTTGTTCTGATCATAATAAAACATAACCAAATAATAAAACTATATAT